ACATGTGATACGGTCACACTTCCGCTTTAACCCGAATCACCTCACATGATTCTACTCCGCTTTAGCCTACCCCCAAAAACAATACCTTTGCCCATATTTGACACACGTGAAATTTCGATCACCTGAACATCATGTGTCGATTATTTAATCATGTGTTTCATTTATTGGTTGATAATCACACCAGTGTTGAAGTGTTGTTGGTAAAAATACTATTTATTATTTTATTTCTATAATAAACAAATTATTATTATTATTATTATTATTATTATTATTATTATTATTTAATGAACCCCCGCTAAAAGCACACCCTGCATAAAAACCCTCATTTATAATCACTGATCCCCCATATAAATAAGACCATCATCAAATTTCTATGCTATAAGAACACCTCACTATAGTAGATGATGGTCTGAAGGGTGTGATTATAGAAGGGGTTAAAGTTATTATTAATTGTTGCTTTCTTCTTGAGGTTTTAAATTTTGATAACTTCCTAAAACTTTTAAACTTTGACAAAGGCCATTTAATTCTTGTAACGACTTTTTCACATCGGATTCATCTTTATGACCTTGTAACTCAACAAAAAACACATAATGCCAATGTCTTTGTGAAGAAGGTCTTGAATCAATTTTCGTTAAATTGATATTATAATCTTTAAAAACTTTTAAACAATCACAAAGTGCACCGGCTCTCCGATGATCTACTGTGAATAAAAGTAAAGTTCTATCATTTCCAGTTGGTATAGTTGTTGACGTTTTCCTGATAATGAAAAACCGAGTTTTGTTGTCTAAAAAAATATTTTAAAAATATTAGAGTTGCAATAACATATTATTTCAAAATACCATCACAAGAAAGAATATCACAAGAAAGAATATCACAAGAAAGAACATCACAAGAAAGAACATCACAAGAAAGAACATCGTAAAAAGAAATAATACATCGCGAAAGGAATACCATCACAAAAAAAAAATACCATAAAGAGAGAAATTTACCTTTAACATTTTGAATATCTCTCACTAATATCTTTAATCCGTATATTTTAGCAGAAACTGAACTCGAAACAGCTGCCGAATTTGGTTCCTTGGCTGCTTTTTTTGCTGCGTCACTTGTAGAAAAAGCTTCAACATGTTGAACACCTTTAAGGTATGTATTAATCCAATTTTGACATTGACCGAATGCCTTAGATAAATAGTTTTTTTTTCAATAATTTAACAACTAATGCTATATATTTTTTTCATTTCAAAATTGAGTGCTTTTTTTTCAATCAATTAAAAATGATTAAAAAGTAATAGTAATATTCACCTGAGGATGACTATACACTTTTGTTATTGATTCGAATTTTGAATTTGAGAGTAGATTATGATTCACCTTTAAAAATATAATATAAAATAATAATTTTAAAAATTTAGAAGAAATTCTTGACTCTAAAATAAAATTTATTTTATTTGATCATCATACATCAAGATATATTTCATCTACGATTTGAACTTTTGATTTAACGAGACTGTCTAAGGTTGTTACTACGGAACCAAAAATAGAATTTTCGAAGGGAATTACTCCAAAAGTCGAACGGTCTTCTTCAACATAAGTAAAAACATCTTTTTCATAACGAATAAATCAAATTAATATTATTACTGAAATTTTTTTTTTAAAAAAAATTTTGGTGAAAAAAGTTTTGATATGAAAATACCGTTTATTGTTGTTTGCGCATGATAAGTTACATCGCCGAACTTTTCGCGAGCAGCCTAAAAAGAAAATAAAAACAATAATAATTAATGGATTTTGAATTAGCAAAATATTAATAGTTTAATATTAATTTTTTTTAATTGTTTAATTTTGTAAATATTAACAGATTAATTTTAATTATTTAATATTAACTGTTTAATATTAATTGTTTTATACTAATTATTTAATAATTGTTTCGTACTTGGTGTGTATATGACCCTTCGGGGCCAAAATATGCTACTGAAATTTTGTCTTGAGATGAATAATTCGAAGACATTTTCAAAATTTGTGCGAAGAAGATTGTAAATTATCAAATGTCACATGTGATTTTCTATTTATACCTTAATTTATATAACTTAAGTTTATTTGCTCTGGACTTACAACGGTCCCTGTTTCCTATATCCTAAATTTTAATTCTATTTTATTCTATTATTTATTATTATCATCTTTATTATTATCTTTATTGATGTCTTTATAATTGTCTTGTTGGTCATTATGATATAATTTATCATTTAAAGGAAATATTTCTGTTAATGGCGTACTAGTAATTATAGAAAAGAGGTTGAAGTTTTTAGAAAAGAAGAGAAGAAATTTATTAATATTAGATATAACAGAAATATATATATTTATTTATTTAAATACTTACTCTCTCATTTCCCAAACATCCAAAGAACTTTTCTTTTTAATATATTGTGCTTCCTTTTCTGCTTCTCTTTCTAATACCATTTTCTAAATAAATTTCACCATAATAATAAGATTCAGAGTAAATAATTATATATATATATATATATATATATGCGTATGTTTACCTTTCGTTCATCTAAATTTTTAGATTTCATCTTTAAACACCATTTCACATTTCGAAAATGATTTGAACAATTCTTTTTTTCGCCGTATCTATAATAATTTGTTGCCTGACCTATTAATGCTTTTTTAAAAAGAAAAGAAGAAAAGAGATTCACAATGATTTATAATGATTTATAATAATTATAATTGAATAATAATGATAAATTGAACGCAGAAGAAAGAAGTTATTATCAGTTAAGATAACTTGAATACAACTTACATGCACAAAACACTAAATAATCGAATTCATTCATCAAACTGCAATTCCATCTTTCTTTTGAAGCTAAAGAATTATTTGTGTTATTTATAGAATGATCATTTGAATTTGTTGAATTCAGTGAATTCGAATTTTCAGTAAAAGTTGTATTGGTTTCCATGATTTACTAAGAAAAAAAAAAATATATATATATATACCCAACACATATGTCACGTGTAAATGCCTGAATTAACAAGTTTCATTCCATTCAATTATATTAAAGTTATTGTACAAATTTCTAAATACATTTCATACATTTCAAAATTAAAATTTTTTGTTTGAAAAATAATATGTATAATTTTTTGCAATAAATATTTATGATAATTTGCCATATGATAACATTTGTCATTATTTTAATATAATAATCTATTGTGATTTTTCACAATGAGCTTTATATGCTTTTTCATCTAACAAATCTTCTAGTTCAGATGTCTTGGATAATTCAATTTTACATAACCAACCTAATATTGATAATATTAATAATTTTATCAATATTATTTATTAATAATTTATTAATATTATTTTTAATAATTTATTAAAATTATTTAATAGAAAAATCAATAAATTAAAGAATAAAAAGATTAATAAATTAAAAAAGAATATTTGTAAATGATAAATTAAATTTACCTTCATCTTCGGGGCTTTCGTTTATTAATCCAGGTTCCTTTTCTAACCTTTTATTAACATCAATAATTTCTCCACTAACTGGAGCATAAATATCATTAGCTGCTTTAACACTTTCTATAGCTCCACAAAGTCCTATAAATTATAATAAAAATAAATAATTATTAAAGAACAAAATTAACACCCAATATTACATATATTTACCAGACTTTTCAACAATAGTTCCTACATCACGTACTTCAACGTAAACTACGTCACCAAGTGCCTTTTGTGCATATTCTGTGATTCCAACAGTCCCTGAATTATCTTTAACAACTATCCATTCATGTTCTTTGGTATATAATTTACCTAGAAAATTCAAAAATCCGTCATTATTATCATTTACTCTGAAATTAAAGAATTATCAAATCAATTTACAAGAAAATAAATATAAAAAAAAAAAAAGAAAAAGGAACTATTACTATAGCATCTACTAATCAATAATGGAGTTCCAAAACGAGTGATGACACTTTTATAGTTAGGAACTAATAAAGAAGAGGATACTAATTTAGAAGAAATAGTGTGAAACAAAGACATGATAATATTAAAAAAACGCGTTAGAAAAAATTTTTTCAGATGATTAATCAAATACATGATAATCAGCTCAGTCAATATATCTGATAAATGGTCTGGATGATAGGATGACGAGATGACGAAGATAACGAATTTGTTTATCATTTATCATTTTTGAAATTTTTGATTAGATTTGATACATCTTCTTTATAATTAAAGATTTAACGAAAAATTTATATACAATAAACCTATTTTTTAACTATTTTATTAAAATACAATAATTTCCAGTATTTAATATAATTTAGTATAATTTGAAAAGATAATGCAAAAAATATATATAGTTAAAAAAAATTAACTTTATTTAGGAACATTATCTCAATCAACTATTTTATTTAAGTTTAAAACGCGCGGATAATAATTTCGGAATTATTATTTATATGAACAATCATGATTTAACTTATTATCGCAAATTAGATTATTTAAAACAATAGAAAAAATTTTTAAAAGATTTATAAGAAATTATTATGCGTTATATATGACATACTTTATCAAAATATCCGATTATATCCGATAATTAAACATCATGGTGCACCATTCTTAAACATCAAAAGACAATACCTCAATTTGTTCCATTTATTCTTCTTCGCTTTAATTAATTAATTATAAATAATAATAACGATAATAATGATAATAATAATAATGATAATGATAAAAAAATGGCAACATTAAATTATTATTATGAAAACGATTTTAAAAAAAATATTTCATTATCCCAGAAATAGAAGTATCAGAAAGAACAATCAATTGAAAGTATTTAATTCTTTCTTTCTGATTTCATTAATTATTACAATTATAGTCAAAATATTATACGTCAAATTTCAATTACTATATCATTATTTATTCTTCATGAAAATAATATATATATTCAAAAAATACTGATTACATTAATTTAATTTCAAGCCATACGAAGAATGTACAAAAAATATTTTATTTTTTATTTTTATTTTTTTTCAAATTGAATTTTTTATTTCACGCCACAATTTAAGCCAACGCGATAAAGAATATGAACTAAGTTAAATTTATTATTTGTCACATAAAAAGTTTATTAATTTAATTTAATTTTATTTAATTTAATTAATTTATTTTTATTTAATTTATTACAATTAATTACTAATTTATTTATTAAGTTATTATAATTAGTTATTATAATTAATTATTTTAATTTAATTAATTAATTTAGTTTTTAAATTTTTAATAATTTAACTAAATTGACTTCTTTTATTAAGTTCGAAATTACCATTATTCAATTTAATTAATGAAAGAACGAAGTAGTCAAAAGTTCTTTAACAGATTCAATTTAATTTTACGCGTTTTACACAAAATTATATCATATTTAACAAACAAGATCAAAACAACTTAACATCATTACCGTAGTGAAAATAACATAACATATCAAGTTAAAACTGTTTGATTTCATTTCATTTTTTTTTAATTTAAATGATTAAACATAAGGCTTGAATTAGATTTACGAGCTTTATTGTAATCGATAATCTTTATTTATTAAAACTAATATTTATTGCATTTGACAATGTATCATTAATAACATTAATTAGTTTCCAAATCACCGTTAATAACAACCTTTCTTCTCTTTCCCTAATAAATGTGAATGATCGAGCAAAAAATTCTCATCAAAACGTCGGATTTCATTTTGGATTTCTTCGAAAATTATACATATATCCCAACAATATGTTGATATGTTAAAAGAAAAATCATTAAGGATGAATCAAACTTTCACTATTATCTGAACGATTATAAACAATCCCTTTCCTTCTATCTATTATAGACATTGGAATAATCCTGCAATTGCTATAAATATTCTAAATTTCTTAAAATCAGCATAGGATTGTTAATTACTGACACATTATCTCTGGGAAACCACTGCACTTTCTCAAATTTTTTTTTTTTTTTTTTGAGTTTACAAAAATGTATTCACTTTATATTTGTAATTTGTAATATTTACAATCAATGATTCCAAAGATGGATTAGTATAAATTTTAAGTACGTATATCTTTTTTATCAATGTTTTTGTGCAACGAAAGAATCCAAATAATTTAAACAATGCCTTTTCAAATAAAGATTTTCAAGCCATGTTGTTCTTATTTTGTAAATAAAAAACCAAAATGGTAGTAAATTTTTCAGCCTTCCAACCCTGGTATCAACAAATTTAGTGGGAAGTATGATTTATAATGTATTTTTGCCATAATACTGTATATATAATATTTATGCCATTGTTTTTTTAGCAGAGTTTGACATTTTTGAAACAAATGAGAACAATGGAAAGGGGCCATACTGATATTCAATCAATCAATCATGCATTAATGTCATCAATAAATTTGATCAGGTGATAAAATGCCGTCTTTTTGCACCAACAAATATTTACAATATTTATCAGTCAACAGAAAATTACCTTTATAATTATCTTTCATATAATTCACTATTTTTTTAAAATATATATATATAGCATAAAATCGGACAGTCAGTACTGAATTGCGCAGTACACGAACATGTGAGGCGTTAAATATAAAGGCAGCCTTGTTATTAAATGTACGGAAAGAAATTTTTGTTTCACCAGATCTAGACATTTTATACAATTATTCTATTCTGAGTTACATATTGATCTAACTTTAATTTGCTTTATTGTTTCTGAGCACAATTTTTCAAGCGTCATGATATAATTAGATTCTTTCGTTAAAATCCTATTAGATGTCAGAGATAATAATAATAATATACATATAAACTTACTAATTTTCCGAAAGTATTAATCAATTCGTTATAAGCTGTACGCAGTCAGATAGATGATGCAAGTTTTTCATGCAGGCTTGCTACAAACATACGTGCTAGGAAATTTCTTTAATTATTACAGATTACATTTTAATTCATTCGTTAAAAAAAAAAAAAACAGGTCAAGATAAGAATGATAACTATATTAAAGTTAACAATGGGTCAGATTGTTCTTTTAGTCCATGAAAAAATTTTTTTATATGTTCAATAAATATCATTAGAATAGATCCGGAATTTTTATCTAAATTTAGTAATTAAACTTCTAATTGAAATTTTTGATTTATACTTTGTCGGTCAGATTCTTTAATAAAAAATCGTCTTTTTTTTATTCTTTTAAACGATTCGTGCAAAAAACACGCATGGATCGCTAATTTGACAATCAATCCGTGCATAATCAACAATACCAATATCATATTATTTATTCTTAATGTTATAATGATTGTTTCATGCGACAAATAAAAAAACAAAAACTACCCAAGCGTTTGGAGACCCAATTGTATGTTACCCTCCAAATAAAGTTTAATGATAATGGTTGTAAAATTTTTTTTTTAATTTACGTTATTACATCTAATATAGAAAAGATTTTCAGTCCGTTAAATTTAATACTAATAATTCTTAAATAAGTTTTTTTTTCTAGGTCAAAGTTAAGAGAGATTATTTGTGTGGGGAGGATTGATTATTGAAAAATAAATAATATATTGTGGAGAAAGAATAATCTATTGGAAGAAATCTTCCTTAATTATGAAATTTTATTTTAATAGAACCAGTGCGATATTGTGTTGGTGCATGTAATCACGGGTAAAGACATAATAGATCACGTACATGTGATTTCCGCTTTGCCAGTTTCAGAAAAAGCACACACCAGCTACCTGTAACATATGGTGATAAATATTTTGATTGGTTTCGTTTATTCACAAACCACCTGGCAAATTTTTTAAAAAAAAACAATTAAATCAACTATTAAAACTTCTCATTTGCCTACCAAATTTGATCAATAATTAAAATTTCTCTTTATTATAATTTATTCTCTAATAATTAACGATTATGATATATGTTATTATTGAATGCTTCATAATTTAATTTATATAAAAAATGTCAAATGCGGGGATAACCAATCAAATATACAATTCAGTGGGCCAACGTCAATCTTTAACACAAAAATATTTTTATTATCTTTTTTAAAAAGTAGGAGAAGAAACAATAGATGATTTTTCAACTTATTGTCCTCCACATCTGGAGATTGGACAATTTTTTTTCTCAATGCTTACAGCTGTCCAAAAACTTTTTTTATTGTAATATATTGGTGTTACTCGTGTATTATGTGTATTATGTGTATTATACTTTATTATTATACTTTTAATGCTTTTATGTGTAAATTTTTAATTTTAAACTTAATAATGAAATAATAAATGATTTGCTTTAAAGTAACTTAATTTATAATTCAATGCATTATTCTAATATAATCGTTTCTGTGTGACGCTATTCGTTGAAAAATCCAATCATGTACGTTTCGCTGATATTCTTTCACAGTAAAAAAAAAAAAAAATCCCTATTGTTATTCGAATTACTGCTATAAAACAATAGTCGAAACAAAATAACATAATAACATAATACTATCACTTTTTTTATTTTTAATAAATTTAAATGTCAAAAATTACAATAACTTCCGGTACAATGATTATAGTTAATTATAGTGAGATGAAAACCAATTGTCCAACTACTTGGGAAAATAAACCATGTTCATTAACTACAAATCAATTAATTAATTACTTATAACCCAGAAATTATCTTCTTTTCCCGTTTCTTTTATTAATTAAAAATGTTATCTTTGACTAGTCAACCATTCTTCCGGATTTTTCAATTCATAAACAATTATCAATTTCTTTAAATTATTTTATTATATAGCACCAAATTGTGTTCATTTTCAAAAAAAAAATTTAAACAATCTAAACAATGATATCTTAAAAATGTTCTATATCATCCGCATACATACATACATACATTTACATTCTTATGCTATTCCGCCTTACATCCTTACTTACATACACCTTTCACACCATCAATTTATGTCTTTTTTTTTCTCGCCGTTTGACGCAAATTGTTAGAATTGTTCAAACGGGAAGATCTGGATGCACAACATGTCTTCTTCTTCTTTACAAAAAATCAAAAATTTTTTTGCTTTATATTGATGCTGCTTTATGCATTATTCATCTTTATATTTCCTTACCAAGTGATTCTTTCTCCTCTGTCTCTCCTACTATCAATAAACCTTTATTCATCATTTTCTCCACATCTTATTGATATTTTAATTGATATCTGATATTTTATTGATTTATATCTTCACTATTATAAAAAAAAAAATTATAATATAAATTAATATTTTGTTATGATTCATTGTTGTTTAATTTAAAAAAAAAAATCTTTCCTATTTGATTGATTATTAAAAAGTATTTTAAAAAATTAATAAAAAAAGGTGACAAGGTTTATTTTCTTTCCAAACCGAAAAGAGAAAGAAGAAAGAATCACTATTATTAAAAATAGAAAAAAATAATTCCACAATTTCCCGTCAAATATTAAAAGCCACGAAAATTTTTTTTTTTTAAAAAAAGATATAATAAAGACTATCATTGCTTCAGCGTAATAGTTATCCTGGAGAGGATAAAAATGATCAATTTTCCCATTTTTTGAAAAAATTTTTTCTCTTTTTTTACACAACGGTTAAATAAAAGTTTAGTTCGCACGAGAATTCATACAACCGATTCTTTCTTCCTTTCTTCCTTTTCGCTAATTCTTCTAAGAACCCATTAATTCCGTTTCCCCTTTTCTTTCCACGACTACCATCCATCTATACATAACTACATTATTATCATTATGGGTTCTATGAAGTCTCAATCTCTACGGTATGAAGTTCTCGTGTGTCCTCAAAAGGAACATACATTAGTGCAAACGAAGGAAGAAATGGCCTCCTCCAACTCGGTTCAACCATTCTTGACTCAAACTCAAGTCCGAAGGTTTACAATTGATGAAAATATGCAACAATACTGGATCCCGGATGGATACCATCCCGTTCTAGTTCCTCGTCCTTTTATACAATATAGTATAGCTGCAAATTCTCAACAAACAGCAGTTTCTGCTGGTAATGAATTTAATAATATTATTTGTCCATTAAGACAAACAATCTCTTCTATCAATACATTCGGTGGTAATGTAACACATCGAACGAAACGACGTCGTTTATTGGGTTCCCAACAAAATCAAATTATGGCCTCTTCTCCTTCTAAAGTTTCATTAATAACTTTTTATGCTGCCTCCCTGTACTATAAACAAAAATTAAAAGAATTAATAACTAGTGGTGTCATTTCAAATCCACCATCAGAACCACCATCAAAAATTATTGGTAAAATGTGGTACGAAGAACCAGAAAGCACAAGAAAATATTACGAAAGACTTGTCATAAGGTTAAAGACTTTAAAATGTGAAAATGATAATAATAAAAAATTAGGAAGAAGACCACCAATATATAAACATCAATTCAATCCCAATTCTCGATACGAATCACGTTTTGCTCAAGCTAGATCTCAAAGAAAACAATACCATCGTTCAAATTTACCTCATGAACATCCAATAAAAAGACCTTCTGGAGCATTAGATATTTCAAATAAATACTACAATGAAAGTAATGTCTATACAACTTCCTCTGAAGACTTTACTAAATTTAACGTACCGGTTACTTCATACCGGAGATCAAACAACAAGAATGTTAGTAACACTGAAGGAGGCAATTCGTCTTCCGTGGAGCATCAATTTTCGATGATGAACGCTGATGATCTGTGTAGGGAATCATTTATTATTTCTTCCTCGCCGAAACTGTCCGCAAACCGAATTAATAATGACAATGTAAATGACGCCCATAACGCGGATTGGATGACACGTTCCGACGAAGAAGATTTATGTGATACCGATGATACCAACTATTAACAACGTTTATGATTCTATTTACGCGCTAAATCGGAATTAATCTTTAACTTCCTCGCCAAAACGAAATACGAAATATATATTTGTACGTCAAAAACAACGAACAACGAAACATTAGTTCGCCATTACTTCGACATTTAGTTTTTTTTTTTCCTCCTCTATTTAAATTCGGAATCCTTTTTATTTCTTTTACAAAGAAGAAATAAAAAACTTGCGCCGAAACAAGGGAGTATATTGAACAAATTATTAAACTCAATAACTTTCTACTTTTGTCGCTTTAGTGCCGTTTTTCTAAAAAAAAAAACCTACCTATCCTCTTATATTATTTCTCGAATCTCGAGTTTTATATATATATATATATAAATCTTCTTTGTATATTTTATCTTTTTTTTCGTATATTTTTATTTATTTTTTTTACGTATCCGTAAAAAAAAAGTTATAAAATGTGTATACACTGTACATACATATAGCTTCTATTTTATCTCTAAATACCAAATTTATTTTTTATAAACCTCGCTTTTCTTTACAAATTTTACTTTTTTTAAAAAAAAAAAAAAAAAAAATCAAAAAAAAAAATCATGAAAAATTCTCCCTGTGGGAGGGGGGAAAAGAAAAAAAATAAAAGAGAAGACGGGAGAGTAATAATCCAAAAAAATATATACACCATTACTAAAAAAAATTAAACACCAAATAACGTTTTTTTAAAAAAAAAAATAATACATCACCAGTCACCTTCAAAAAAAGCTTAAATTTTAAATTTTAACCCTTTTCTTGTATAATATATAAATTTATTTTTCCAACACTATATATATAAAGTCTTGTCAAATAGTTTTTTTTCATTTTTTATTTTCTCTGAATTTATTTCCTTTTTTCTTTGTTAAAAATAAAATAAAAAAAAACTTTAAATCCAAAAAATTTATCAAATGTTAAAAGAATTAGTAAAAATTAAATTTCAGGTAAAGACTATATTTTATTTCACGTGATAAATTTTGCACGTTATAACCATGTGGCAATACACAAGACGCCATTATTCTAACCATAAAAAGGTTAATAAATACTTGGTACTCTGAGTGACCCAATACAAAAAAAAAAGTAACATCGAATTTGTTTCATTAAAGCCTGATCAAGGTACTTGCATGATTACATATTCATTTTGGCTGAGGGGTACATCTAAAAAAAAGCATAGCAAACGTAACGCAAGTGTGAATTTTTTGAATGAAATTACTTTTTTATTATTTTAATAATGAAAAATAACCTCGAAAAAGAAAGAAAGAAATAGAAAAAAATTTTTTTCCCAAGTAAAATAAAATTTCCAGAATTACATATTAAAAAAAAAAAATAAAGAAATTTGAGTTTTCTCTAAAGCAATAATTACAATTTTTAAATTCTATCATGAAATAATTAACTCAAAATTATGTTAGATAATATACAATATAAATGTCAAAATAATGCAATATAATAAAATGAATGATTGTGAAAATGCAATAAATGTTCTAAATACTAAATATATGGAATATAATATATATAATATATATGGAATAAATGATAATGATACAAAATATATATAAAAATTTCTTCCTTTTCATCGTGAATGAATTTTAGAATTTATTTGATTTAAAAAGCTTCTTGGCCTTTGCGATCATGCCATCGTCCAAAGAGTCATCCGATTCGTCAGAGGATTGGGAGGAGGAAGAGGAGGAGGAAGAAGAGGAACTTTGATTCTTGGTTCCTTGTTTTTCATCTTTATCGTGAATTTTTTGTAACATTTCCATAAGTTCCTCTTCAGAAAATTCACTTCCAAACATATCAGAGAATGAATCGGGGGCAAAGAAATCATCCCCATAAGAATCATCGGAAAAGAAATCATTCTTTGAATCTTCGTTTTGAACGTGGAGTGTTTTAAGACTCTCGAAGACGACGGTTTTGTTATCAGAAGACATTTTTGTTATTATTAAAGATTTATGTATATTGTTTGTTGATAATTTTAGCGAATAAGTAAGATAAAATTTTTTTTTTTTTTATAAAAAATTTTATCAGAAATGTATTATGATGAAGGATTTGATGCTGCCTATTTGTACTTGTGAGCATTCTATGATCAAACTTGTGACATGCGTATTCATTCCTTGTTAATATTTCTGTGTATCGTTTAAGTTACAATGGCAAGTTGTTCGACCAATTTGGGACGTCTTTGTTAAACAACCTTAAGCCAATTAAAAATTGCGTAAATATTTTTAAATTGATATTTGATGATCTTTTTTACATTTTTGGGTAAAGATAATACACATACCATCCTCGACATTTATTCTTGTTTGTGATAATCATTCTTTTGATCGAAAAAAAAATTCTTTTAATCAATAAAGAATAAGAAATTTCAAGAAAGAAAAAAAAACAATGAAGAAAGAAAAAAAGAACGAATAAAAATTAGTAAAAATTCTATTATTGCTAGTGCAAAATTAAAAACTTTAACTATTTACTCGTGGAAGTAATTTACGATAAGTTAACTTTAAAATATTATAAACAAACCATCAGATTTTCTACCACACTAAACTTAATTTGAAACATAACAGATAAAAAATTATTTCTCGTATTCTTTTTTCCATGAAAAATGTTTATGCAAGATTTTTTATTACAATTACTATTTTTGGTGTAAACAAAAAACGTTTGATGATGTATAAGCAAAGATGTACTGTTTAAAATTCTTAAACTTTTTTCATGTATATTAAGTTTTAAGCTCACATACAGTACATTAATAAAAACATTAATAGAATTGAACACAAAATCTTCGTCCTTCAAAAGTAATACGGTATTGTTTGTAACAGAATTTCACACTTACACCTATCATTTTTCTTCCCTTTGTTCTTTGTTTTTCCTTTTTTTTTCGTTGTCTGTAAATAAGAACTTTAGAAGGTTATATGATCTTCGGTGATCATCTTTAATTGTTTAAATGAACTGGTTGTTCTCCATTTATTTTCTTTGTACTTAATTCACTGTGTTGCTAATATCCAAATGTTAACGTTTTACCATTATTTGGTTAACTATGATATCACTAAATATGTAAAAATACATACGAACTTTACAATTAAGATTTTAAATTCATTAATAAATATAAATTGAATACAACTTTAACAATTCAAATCACGTGTTTAATCTAACTATTTATAGGAATTGAGAACATTGACAATATTAACAATATTAACAAACAATATTAATTTTTTTTTGTAAATAATTTTTTTTTATCGTAGTATTTTATCCTAATTTCAGATCGATTTTGTATTACATAGAGTGATTTTCTACTATTACGCTTCTAGTATGACATGCCACTGACAGATATCATTTGAAATTCTCGTTCCAGGCTTTATGTTGGAAGTTAAATCATCTTTCTGGCTTCCGATATTCATAGAGCTATTGCTGTTCGAAGACAATGTATTAATTGACTTGCAAAATTGCAATAATAATGGTGATTTTAAAAACGTGATTTCAGTAAACACCACATATATTGTAAATGAATATATATATTTACACTCCCCTAGAAAAAGTATTTGTGAAATGACAAAATTCGAAAATAATTGCTAAAATTAAAATGGTAATTGTGAGACAATGAGTGATCTAAAACGTACAAACTTTTTTTTATTAGATTCCCCTAAACTAAGGCTATCATATAATATTTTTATGATAAAATTAAACATCTATACATGGAGATATTACGCTTCAAATGAAATTGACAAAAAATAATAAATTTATTCTTAGATCGTTACCTATACCGCATTTGATGGATCTTAAAGATAGATACCAACTAGCTTATATGAAATTGTAGACAGAAATAATATCTACAACTTTAATTATTGATGTTTTTCTCGGTACCTAATAAAAATTTTGAATTCAATTAGACATGAATAAATTTATTTATTTATTTATTTATTTTAGCAGACTGGTGTGATCTCATACAGTTTCCTATAAGTATTACAACAAATACAGTGAAATTGTATTAGCTAATCTAATGATACCACTTAATCTACCACTGTGTAAAATTAGATTTTACAATTAGTAAGTTTCAACTGCTACGGCCCCACTAATATCTATTCTTAATAAATTGAAAATAAACTTGTAATTGAGGTATCTATCTGTAATAAGTAATCTATTGTTATATTTAGAATATGGTCTTTGGATTTTTCTATTTGATTTTTTTGTTTTTTATTTTTTTTTCTTATTTTTTGTTTTTATATTTGGAAATTCATTAAGTTTCCTTTTTATTTCTTTTTGCTCCTTTGTTTTTTGAATTTGACTATTTCTTTCTGACTATAATTCATAGAGTTTCTTCATTGTAATCTGGTATATTTCAAGAACTTTTTCTTTAGTTGTTTTTCTATCTGATTTTGTTACTGCTGCTATTTGGTCAATTAATAGTTTAGATATAAGTCCTCTTATTATATCACTGAAGTTGAATTTTGAATCTCTTGCTATTTTCCATATATTTATTCTGTTTGAATCAAAGGAATATAATCTGTTTGTTATTATTTTTTCCTTATAAATTTTCTAATTTTATCATAATTGATATTTAGCTTTTTTATGTGGTTTCTAATTGTTTTGATTCATATCTGTTTGAAGTTTTCTTTGTTAACTTGACATGTAAAGATGTGGAGTATTGATTCTATTTGTATTTTATATCTTGGACAATTTGGATTTTGATATATTTCTTTTTTGAAATTATTTAGTCTTAAGTATATTGGTAGCTCATCGCATATTATTTTTATTCTGAACATTCTTAAATTTTGATCTATATTTGATATTTCTCCATTTGTCAGTTTTGAGTGAATTAAGTTTCTTTTATTGTATTCCAATTTATTATTTTTTTTATATTTCTATTGAAGAATTGAATAAATTTAAGTTGTGTTTTTTAGTCGATTATATTTTGAATGTTAGTTATACCTTTGGTTAATTCTTATATTGAATTGTCTAAGAATTTGTTTCCTTTTTTTAGTTAATATTTTTTTACAAATTTATATTCATAGTTAAGGTCTACAATTGTTTTACTTATTGTTCCTTTTTATACTAATTTATATACTTTATTATTTAGAAGTATTCCTGTATGCACTTTTATTTTCATTAATTTTAGGTTAATGTTTTTTTCTATTATTATTTTTTTTTATTATTAATAGTAGATTTGGATTTTTATAAATTTTTCAATATTTTCTTTATTTGAGATGAATAAAATTAGTTATTGAATCTATTGAACTTTTTGAGTTTGTGAAGATTCCTATATTTGAGTTATTTGAAATTATTGCTATGGTTAATGTAATTACTATTAATTCTACTCTTGTTAATAATAGTGGACCTATTGTTTTCCTATTTAATTCTTTGAATATTTCATTTGTAACTTGGTTTATTAAGACTATTCCATATCCTATCTGTATTTGTTGTTTCGTTAGAGTTTTGTTTTTATAGATTTTTTTCATTGATTCATTAGTATATATTATATAATCTTTTATGTTTTGATTATTAAAGTTGTTATATATGTGAAATAGTTCTTATTTTTTTTGTTCTATTAGAGTAAATAAAAAGTTAAAGTTTCTGTCATTATTTGATTTTTCTTGATAGTTGATTTTGTTTTTCATTTTTTTGTATATTGCTTTATTAATTAAGTTAGGAGAATAAAAAAGATATCTTTCTTTTGATAATTTTTTCCTTGATTTCTTATTTCTAGAATTTATTTTTGTGATATAAAAAGAATATAAGGCTATTGCCATTTTTTATAACAAATGTCATGT